AGGTGCGGATCGACGAGAACGGATGCGACAGGAGACTCCAGCTGAGAGCTTGACACATATATCTGAGATCATGTTCGCGGATGACACGAGTTTATTGACGCGCAAATCGCAGCGCGAGGGTGTCGAAAAGCTAGTGGAGAAAGTTCTTGGTTGAATGGTCTGAAACGTCGCATCCAGATACATATGAAAGATTATGTTCGGCAGTAAATATTGATGATAAGTTTTCGGCAGTAGCTCGATTTTCAGGAGCTTGGATTCGAAGCGATGGCCAGAACACGACAGACACCCAGAAGAGATTACAAAAGGCTGGCGTTCCTCGGCGTAGATTGCGGGGCCAGTTGGCCCGACTTTCACTGGAGGAGAAGACCTTGGGGCAATTATTTCGCGTCACAGTATTAGCTTGTATTTTGTTTGGTCGTGAATCACGTACATATACGGCGAAGGAGAGTTAGAAATATCAGCGAGTCATGAATAAGTGCACATTGGTTTTGCTGGGCCAGAGACGACGGCTCATGCGCGACCAGCAGGTGGCGATGACGGACTTGAGGAAACGGCTCGGCCTGGATTTGATTTCAACGTACATTACGTGGCGTCGCCTACAGTTTCTTGGGCACCAGCTCAGATTGCCCGACGATTGTTCGGATCGTGCTATTCTTTGGCTTGCGCCGTCCGAGGAGTACGCGGCTGCCCGTCGCTTAGGACATGCCCGCCTCAACATCAGACAAGTCCTCTGGAGAGCCGTGGAGGTGTTCTCGCTTTCTCTGGTATTCCTCGGGGTCGGTGGCGGGCGTCTCGGGTTACGGTTGCAAGGAATCGTTTGGTTTGGGCCAAGCTCATGCGAAAGTGGCGCCATGAAGCTCGAGCCGAAGCTTCTAAGGGCGAGCGGCGTCAGCGCCGCGCTCCTGGAGGCCCCCGCGAGAAGTGCATGACTAGGTGCCTGAAGGCCAACGCTGAGCGGGACAACATGAACGTCCTGGAGAGTGGGGTCTGCTTGTGCCGCCCCCTGCGGGGGCTACTGGCCCTGGAAGGGCTTCAAGAAACACTGCCAGTGCTGCGAGCGCCAGACCCCCGAGAAGCGCCTTGTGAAGATGACGACAAAACACAAACAGTCCCAGCAGGCTCTACTGGAACTCCATCGGCTCCCCCTACAACAACATCAGCCTCCGAGTTACCGTCCTCCTCTCCCTCAGCCAGTTGCAGACGCGGCCGCGTCGGGCGCAGGAGCAGGCTCCCATCCTATTTCGAGCCCTGCTCCGCAGCCCGCCGCGTCCTCGAGACCTTCGGTAGCGCCAGCTGACGGGCCAGCTGCAGGGCCACCAGTGCCGCCACCTCCAGCACCTCACCCAGTCGCCCGCAGACGTCGGGACTGCATTACTTCGCGCGCCAAGGGCGCGAGCAGCATCGCTACCCCTCCAAGCGGTTGGCCTTCGGAGGCGGGACGTACCATTCTCGAGGAGATGATCGCAACAAATCCAGTGGATGAGGTGCGCATGGAGCAACGTTGCAGATGTAAGACATGCCAGCAGTGTTTCAGATGCAGAGAATACGGATATTGCTTCGGCGGGTGTTGGCTTGATCTTGGATGTGGGACGTGTTCGGGATGTAAGACATGTCGAACCAATTGCACGTATAGGATATCCTCCTCAGGGCTCCCCGAGTGGTTTCAGACGATAGCTACGAGGTCTCAAATGTCTAGTCTCCCAGCGCCCGAGCAGCCTCCAACGGTGGAGCCCCATATTTGCCCTTTCTGTCGTCAAGTATTCCCAAATAATCAAAAGGGCAAGCTCAAACAGTACGTCCATCTGAAATCATGTGTACAAATGCCGTTCGACATGTGGTTAACTCGTACTCGTATGGTTACTCGTACTCGTCTTCGGGATCATCCATGTGCTCACTGTGGAACCTATTATGCGACGGCTCATGGTAAATGTAAACATGCGCGTGGGTGCAAAGTTCCTCGTGCATTTTTCGCGCTATCGCTAAACACGGGTCCATGGCATCGCACTCGTCCTGAAGCCCACGGTCTTCCTCCTAAGTACCACCCCTTCATATGCCATGAGCCTATACCTGAATCCTCTGAAGGAGACGTTCTTAGTTGGAACAACGTATATGCATTTGTGATGATTACTTGGTGTTGCGCTACTCTTTTGAGCTCGAGTACCTTTGGTTTGTGCAGTATACTTGGTTGAGTTCGAGATGGCGGCAGCGGCGTCTTCCGCATCCTCCGCACCGGCTGCGCCAGCAGATCTGCCGGCGAAATGTTTGGAGGGCGCCAGCAACAGGGCCGCCAAGATCCGCGGCGGGGGGAGCTCCGACGCGGTCATGTCCGAGAAGAAGGAGGGCACCGAACGCGAGGTGCGGCAGAGGACAGGCAACACCACCCCGATCGCGGACGAGGAGCTTTTCACGTTATTATTGAGAGATTTCTTGGGCTTCACAACGTTGGCAAGGCCGTCTATAGCCGCAAAAAACATCGTCATTCTACTCAAGTCCAACTCGGCGGCCACAGAGCTTGGTTCCATGATCCAGGTGCATTTGGACCAGAAAGTACCAGTCACGCAGGAGATGCGCGAGACGCGCAACTTCCCGAAGCATCCGCTCGACATGTCGAAGGACACGTTAAGTTTCATCAGTTTCGTATTCTTCATGTTGCCACGGCTCGAAGATTTTGCGTCAAAGAATCCAGGGGGCAAAGTGGGGAAAGAGACTCTCGCCGCGCTGAAGGAGCTGAAGTCGACGGCCGCTTCGCCCTTGAAGCTCTGGATTGGGGAGTTCTCGACGAGGTGCAACAAGCCGAAGGAGGACTTCGCGTGTAAGTGGGCCCTCACGTTTAGCGACTTCGCGCCCGAGGCTTTCTGTTTGGCTCTCGCGAACCTGCTGTTCTGGAAAGATCCTGCAAAGGCGGTGGTGATCGAGCAGACTCGCTCGTTCCAGAGGCCAGACGAACAACGTTTGTGGGCTGCGCTGAAGGGGGGGCCGAAGCCGAAGGGCGGAGGCAAGAAGAGGAAGTGAACAAGTCGTCGGCGCTCAGCCCACCGACTGAGGCCATCTCCTTGCCAGGCGGTGGGCTGAAACGTTGGCTGCTCCAGAGGTGCGAGGCCGTCGGCCTCCCCAAGTACATCGCTGTCATCATGCTGCTAGACGGGAGGGAGCTTGCAGATCTTGTTGGTGGAAAGTTCTTGGGACCACATTTTGTTGCAGGCTGCTGGGCAAAAGTTCTTGCCCTGGAGTGGCTTTGCACTTGGCTCTGGCATGCAGCCCACCCAGCTGATCATCAGCATAGTTTTGACACTGACCTTCAAGATGACGCGGTGTTCCTCATTTTGCTTTCTTGGTGGCTGTTGTGTCGGGCCTTGGCTTCGGCTCTGACTTCGAGGCGATGGTCGTCGACTTCTACCGTTTCATGCGGGGGGACATCGAGCGCAGAACCACCTTCAACACTAGACATCTACGCCGAGCCCCGGGAGGCGACGGAGGGCCCAGAGGACCACGAGTACACGCAGTTGTTGTCTGATCTTATGTTGCGTGACCAGACCACTACAAAGGAGTTCACAGACTGGCGGGAGGAAAAGGAGAAGAAACAGGTGAAGCGCCTGACGGCGCGCTGGCATGAGGTCAGGCAGGCCATGGCGGATAGGGGGGCCAAGGCGAAGGCAGAGGCGAAGGCGGCGCCGAAGTCGAGAAAGCGACCCGGTCATGTGCGGCAAGGAACGAAGAGGCAACGGACCGACTTCGCCCGTCCGGTCGCCGCGCCAGAAGGCGGCGATGGAGACATGGTCGAGTGCCCTGGCGCGGGGGGCGATGGGGCGCCACCAGCTGCCTTTGCTGCTGCGCCGGGCGGCGGTCCTGCAGGCGCAGGCGCGTCGCTTTCTGGCGACGCAGCAAAGCCGAGCGACGCTGGAGCGGCGCCGCCCCCAGCCGCGGCTCCGCGCGCAGGGAATGGCTGGGAAGTGGTCGAAGTAGCAGGAGGCTGGATGCGTTTTTTTCCAGTTATCTTGGACGGGCCGACGCCCTCTGCCGTTGCCGCGGGCCTGGCTGCAAGATGGGCAGGAGGGTGCGGCGCGGCATTTTGGGTTTGTCGCTTGCGCGGTTATCTCGGGGGCACGAAGGCTCACGAACCGATCGCATAATATTGAAGCAGAGCCTGAGTGAACCCGCTGCGCTTTCAGAGCGCAGCGAGAGACGAACTGAATCTGGAGAGCGTGCCAAACTAAATCCGCAATCCGTTGAGCATCGCCTTGTATGCATGGAGCGCTCTCACCGCGATGGCGGCGGGAGCGAGCCCGAACAGCTGGCGTGCCCCGGCATTTTCGGGGAGCTTAATCGTGCCATCCAGTAGCCAAGCCGGTACTTTCGCAAACTATAGCGCTGATTGAAACAACATTGACCAACGTGGCGGTGGTTATTCCTGTGATATAGGTGCTCCGATCGGCCCAGGTGCTTCTCACTAAGCCAGCGTGTGGTGCTAAGCGTATCTTCCGTAGACGTGCTGGCGCAAAGGGGTATTGTGTGCAACGAAAAAGGTGTCTCATCCTCTCTGTCCGCTGTGCGGGGCCCCGCCATGTCCAACAGTTGGTAGCGGAGCTGTGGGGCCAGTGCGCGGCGCGCTGTGACGGCGCGCTGACAAAGCCAGACGATCCGAGACTGCGGCCACGCCCGCAGAAGGTGGGAATGAGGCGGCGACAGAGAGACAGCACGACACTGCGCGCGGGAGCGCACACCATCAGTTTTTCCAGACTGCATCATCGGGTTCCAACGAACCCGCAGCAGCAGCAGTTGTGACACAGGCGGCCCAGCAGATAGCAACAGAGCTCGGCGGCATTCTCAGACAGCAGTTCGAGGTGTTGAGGGAACAGGCTCAGGGAGACTATCCGAGAAGGCCGCCAGTTGAATTCGACGACCGACAGAAGGACGGTCCAGACAGGGAAAACGATCCATGGGACCGCTCACGGCATCAATGGGGATGGGGAGATACTAGAGATCAGAGCTGGTCGAGACAGGACTGGCGCGAGGATCGATGGAGCTCGTGGGAGCACTACAACAAGACGGACACGCGTATGATCAGGGGCGGCTTTTCGGATCCGCCCGAATTTCCGGGCTGGGACAGGTTCCGGTCTTGGAGAGAAGAATTGAGAAGATGGGCCGGCTTCGCCGACATTCCTGCTAGGAAGCACCCCGACCGGGTGCTCAAGAACACGAAGTGGGAACTCAAGGACTCGCTGGGTCACTTCCAGTCGAGCGACCTGGTGTGCGACGAGGGCTTGAACAACCTACTGGCCCGGATGGCGGCGCTGGTGGGAGAGAAGGAAGGCGATGAAGAACGACGGGCCTTGAGAGAGTCGGCGTTCGAGTACGAGCGTCGCAAGACGGAGACACTCACACAGTTCGTAGAGCGACGCGCCAGGCAGTTTGCGGCTGCCGAGCGCCATGGAATAGTGCTGCCCAGCGAACTCAAAGGAATGCTGATGGAGGAGGGCAGTGCACTACCTGAGACCGGGATGCTGTCCCTGCGGTCCATGACTCAGGCGTCCCTCGAGGTCGACAGGATCTCCCACGCGCTGAGGCAGCTGGACACCACATCATCGGAGAGAATCGTCGGTCCTTCCGCTCGGTCGCGGACACACTACGCGACGGAGCATAAGGGGGGCTCCTGACCGCAGCCACCATGGAGGACGACGACGACGGGTTCGACTCCGAAGAGGAGCAGGAGATCTACCTGGAGGTGGAGGACGCCTGCATCGACGAGGACCAGCTCGAGGTATTCTTAGAGACAGCCATCCAGAAGAAGAAGACCTTCCGCGAGAACAAGATGCTGAAGGCCGCCATCAAGAAGGATCGACAGTTCTTCGACTCGAAGACCGACCCGAAGCGAGAGGGAGGTCGACCCCGTCGACGAGAGAGGCTGTCGGTGGAGAAGCTGAAGCTCATCACGAAGTGCGCGAACTGCGGGGAGAAGGGGCACTGGAAGAAGGAGTGCCGCAACCCGTACAAGCCCCGCGAGAACAGCACCAAGGAGGTCACCATGTTCCACTATGGCGAGGACGGCGCCGGACTGTCGAGCTACCCGTGCTGGCTGGTGCTCTTGTCCGTGAAGGCGGGGACGGCGTTGGTGGACAGCGCCGCAGCGCAGGCCATCATGGGCATGCCGTCTCTGTGCCAGCTGGAGCAGTACCTCCTCGGGCTCGGCCTCCGGGCGGTGTGGGTGCCGCGCCAGGTCCCAGCTCCGACCGGGATCGGAGGGCGCGCCACCCTCGTCGGCGCGGTGCTCGTGCCGACCGCGCTTGCAGGGCCCCGAGGTGTGATCGAGTTCGTGGTCGTGGCAGAGGACATCCCTCCGCTGCTCCCCGGCGGTCAAAGGCCCTCGGGGCGGAATTCAGCTACGTGAACGAGGAGATCAAGTTCCAGTCTCTGAGCGGCGACCCGGTCAAGATGATCACCTACGGCGAGCATCGAGGTATTCCTCTGGTGTCCGCCCACAGCATGAAGGGGTTTTCCGCCCCGATGAGCACGCAGGACAGGTTTCCCTGTCTGAGCGCAGACGTGTTCTCGACCCAGGCGCCCTTGCCGGTCGAGTCTGCGAGCACTGAGCAGGCGCTGCAGCTCGGGCCAGCCGAGCAGGAGTATCGGGCCATCTGGGCCCAGAGCGGAGCTGCGAGAGGATGCGCGTCTCCGCCCCCCCCTCCCGCCTTTCACCAGGACCCAGGACCAGGGCTAGAGGAGGTCGAGGAGGCCGAGGAGGTAGAGGAGGAGGAGGAGAACAGAGGAGTGGTTCTAGAACGCACGCCAGTCCGGCTAGAAGGTGATCCCTGGAGCTCTCCGCTGTTTCTGGAGCTCAAGCCATCTGGCGTTGTGATATCTTTGTCTCCTTCCACCTGCCCGGTTCTTGAACCCGAGAGCGCTCGACATGACGGTGGATGCGCATGTGGCCGCCCGGAAGAGCGACGAGAGGGTGCATATGTGGGGCTCCCTGGTGCAGATGAGCGCGCAGCAGCTCCGCAAGATCCAGAAGGCATGCCTCCAGATCGCCATTGCAGGACACCTGTTCGTAGGGAAGTACAAGAACAGGGAGCTTGTTCAGCGGTGGGCGTCCTGCATGCATCCCAGGCTGACCTGGGACGGAGGGGGCCTGAAGTCTCCCTGGGAGAGCGGCGGCAACGGGACGGCCACGCACACCAAGTGCAAGCAGTGCGGCATGAGGCTGCTGCACGAGGCGCGCAGTGCAGGACTCAACCCGAAGAGCGCGCCGGCCAAGGTCAAGAAGAGCACGACCTACAAGGCAGAGAGCAAGGTGAATAACGAGATCGACATGGACTCGAGCCCAGGGGCATGCGTCAGCTACGAGAGTCCACTCGAAGCTCCGGTGCGTCCTCCTCGTCCAGAGCCTCGTCTCACCGAGGACATGTCGCGGCAGATGGTGGCCGACGCGGTGCAGCCCGTGGCAGGGGCGCTACAGCAGCAGCAGGAGACGATGAACCAGATGATCATGCAGGCGGCGCAGCCGCTGGGCCAGGCCGCGCAGCAGCAGCACCAGGCCATAGACCAGCTGGCGGCGACGGTTCACATGATGCAGCCGCCCGCGGCCTCGGTGCCGGTGCCTGTGGAGGCGGAGAACGCTGCGGGCTGGGGACAGATCGGCGAGGAGGACCCCGAGGTGATCCCGGGGCCCGAGCAGATCTGAGGCTCCGTGCACTGACGGGCGCCGAAGCGCAGCAGTTCAGCAGCCAGGCCAGCGTGGTCCTGACCGGGTCCTCTCGCGCCCTGGCGTGGGGGAGGCCTCCCAACGCTCAGCGAATCAGCAGAGCGTTCTGCATGTGGCTGAAGAACGACAACGGCTGGCACCCAGTCAACTCTGCGATCCGGGCGAAATGGCACACCTCCCTCGTGGCATGCCGCAGCTCCCGATCCTCCACGAGCCCCGCCTTCGTGATCGCCGACGCGATGCGAGGAGTTGAGGAGGAGGAGGCAGGTGGCGGCAGCACAGGCAGAGGAGGAGGAGGAAGAGGGCGAGGAGCGCAGCGAGTCGACCTCGATATCCCTGTAGCCATAGCCCTGGAAAACGACAACCTGGTCTCGTTCCTCGAAGGTTCCGAGCACAACGACGATCGCGAGGTCACGGTGCCCCGAGGAGTGAGGAGCCAGGCGAGAGCACTGGCGTTTGCCGCAGCAGCCCGAGCAAGCTCCGGCAGCCGCCCAGGAGGAGAGGGAGGAGGAGGAGGAGGCCAGGATCACGTTTCAGCCCTCACCACCCAGTGCCCATATGCCGAGTTATTCAGTTCCCCTCGAGTCGCTCCAGTCGTGGACAAGATCATGAGGGAAGGAGGTGCGAGGACATCGTGCGTCTCCTGGGACCTGGCCACAGGATGGGATTTCAGGAAGGCAGAGGATAGGAAAAGGTTGAGGCGAGAACTCGGGGAGCGCGAACCCTGGCTGATAGGCATGTCCCCCCCTGCACTCAGTTCTCCAACCTGAGCTATGTCAACGAGGGTAGACAGGAGGAGGAGGAGGAGCTGAGGAGGAAGAGGGCCGAGGCACTCGTGCTTATGGGGTTCGCGATCGAGGTCGCAGTGATGCAGGTCGAGGCAGGTCGCAGGTTCTTCCTGGAGCAGCCCAGAGGTGCCCGGTCCTGGAAGCTCGAGGCCATGGGGTTTCTCGCTCGGATCAGAGGAGTGTCCACAGTCGACTTCGACATGTGCGCGTTCGGCCTGACAGTGCATGCGTCCGATCGGCTGTCACTCAAGCCCACTCGGATCATCACGAACGATCCGCGCGTGCTCGAGGCGATGCAAGGCAGGCGTTGCACGAAGTCACACGAGCACGCGGTCCTGGATGGGGAGCACCATGACGAGGAAAGCAGCCATATACCCTCCCAGGCTGTGCTCGGCCCTGGCCAGGGCAGCACAGCGATCGTGGACTTGCGCAGTCTCAGCCTCGCCCTCCTTTCCAGCAGCAGAGGCAGGGGAGGAGGGGGGGGGGGGAGGCAGTGGAGGACCCCCTGGCAGAGGCAGCAGCAGCAGCAGAGGCAGCTCGAGCGGCAGAGAGGAGGAGGAGCGAGCAGCACGGGCCGGGCCTGATGAGAGAGAGGAGTCGTGTCCGAGGCCCAGAAGAGGATGATATATCGAGTGCGCGTCAATCTCGGGCACCCTCGTCGAGAAGAAATGATTCGCATCCTCAGGAACGCACATGCCAAGCCAGAGGTGCTGCACTATCTCAAGCATGAGTACCGATGCCCTCGGCGCGAGGCCAGCTCACGCGCAGTGCCGAGGAGACGAGCAGCCATTCCCCGTGCATATGCGTTCAACAGAATTGCCAGAGCCGATCTATTCTTTGTCACCTACGGGGGCAAGGAGTTCACCTTCCTCAATATAGTGTGCCACGGCACGAACCTGCAGTGGGTCGGCCTCGTGGGAGAGGGGCAGTGCACTGCGTCCCTCGATAGATGGAGCACGTGCGCCCGGGGCTGGCTGCGCCACTACGGTCCGCCAGAGGTACTCATCGCGGATGGAGGGGGAGAGTTCGATCAGGCCTTCGCCCGACATCTGGAGCAGAGTGGCACATTCCACAAGGTCACGGACGCCGAGGCGCCCTGGCAGAACGGCCGGGCCGAACGTCATGGTCAGTGGGCCAAGGACCGACTGGCCAAGCTCATTGAGGAGTGTGTGCCCACCACGGTCGTGGAGGTAGAGAATGCAGCATGCGAGCTGGTTGCCTGGAAAAACTGATTCTTCCACAGAGGAGGCTACAGCCCACTGCAGCTTGTCTTCGGACAAAATCCTCGGCTGCCGCACGAACTTCTCAGCGACGACCCTCTCGATCGTGTAGGACTAGATGATATGCAGGAGAGGGCGATGGAGGTGGACACAGCAGCAGCAGACTTCAGGAGGAGGCAGGAGATCAGAGCAGCAGCCAAGAGGTGGGCCATTCAAGGGGGGCGCGAGGGAGAAGGTGAACACAGCTCAGAAGTCCGCTCCCCATCGTGACCGTGTGTTCCTCCCAGGCCAGCGGGTGTACGTGCGGCGCAAGGCCACGACTCGGCCCCGCAAGCCATGCTCGTTGCAGCGGGGCCGCTGGGTCGGGCCCGGAGCTGTTGCGTGCCAGAAAGGCACCGCAACGTGGGTCGCAGTCCGCTCTCGCCTGTGGAAGTGCGCCACAGAACAGCTGAGGTCCGCAACCCAGGAGGAGGCCCTCGGAGCAGAACTCACGCAGCACGAGGCCCTCCGATCTCTCTGGGACAAGTTCGGAGAAGACGGCGCAGCCGGATCCGCCGTCGATGTGGCCCGAGAGGGCCCTCCTCCCGAGGGCGCTTGGGACCTCCCCCCGTTCCCATGGGCGACGCCGGGACACAGCAGGAGCAGCCGCCTGCAGCGGAGGAGGAGGAGAGGGCGCGCGGGCAGACAGCGCAGCAGAAGGCAGAAGGAGGAGGAGGAGAGGGAGGAGGGTCCGCAGGCGGGACTGCGGAGGACGCCAGATCCGAGGCTCCACGGAAGCCCGCCGACCGCCGGGAGCAGGACGATGGCGATCCAGCCCCCCTCCCCGCGTCGCCCGCCGAGAGAGCAGCAGCAGCAGCAGCAGCAGCCTCCCCCAGTGCGAGCGGATCCTCAGCAGCAGCCCCTCCACCTCCCGCTCAGAGGTGGGTAGAGGCGCGGGCTCCGGGGCCAGAGGCCCGTCGAGTTCGAGTGCCGATTGGCGAGTCACGCGATCAGACCACAGCCTCAGAACCCTCCGTCCTGCCTCCCACGTTCCCGCTGAGCAGTGTCCGCCAGGTCAGCAGAGCATCCGAGGACAGTGAGGAGCGGTCCAAGAGAGCGAGGGCGGACGAGGCAGGAGGAGATTCGATACCCGCTCACCTTCGACTATCTCCAGAACAGCTGCGAGGAGGGACAGGCGCGCCGTTTTTTCCGGCGGAGCTGGCTCGGGCGGGGCTCCCCACGCCGAGCGAGCTACTGCCCGGCATCGCTGGGAGGGTCAGAGAGCAGGTCCAGGAGTACGAGCGGTGGGCAGGGCAGAGGAGTCAGCCGCAGCAGACCCAGCAGCAGCCAGCAGCAGGCAGCACAGCAGCCACAGTCGCAGCAGAGGACGAGGCTTCGAGGGCGATGGACGAGGACGGTTTGCTCTCAGGATGCTGTGAGGCTTTCGGACAGTGGTTCTCAGAGGCCGGCTGGAGTGGCACACGCGGAGACTTTCTCAACGGGAATGCGGACTTCCATGCAGCGTGCGACGGCGGCGAGGCCACAGGAGAATGGGTCTTGGCGTCCTCTCGAGGAGGTGAAGTCTCCCTCAAATATCTTGATCCGGGAGAGCTCGGCCAGTTCCAAGCAGCTGACGCCGTCGAATGGCGCTCAGTGGCCAGGCCAGGTGTCCTCCGGGTACTCTGCCGAGAGGCCTCCGAGCAAGTTCGGAGGTCCAGGCCCGAGCGGGTCCTCTCCCCTCGCGCGGTGAGAAGGTGGAAGGTACAGGAGGGACTGCACACCGCACGCACTGCCAAGAGCAGGTGGTGCGCGCACGGCCATGTTGATTCCGACACTGGCACTATCAGCACCTACTCGCCCACGCCCCAGACAGAATCCATGAACCTGTTCGCACTCGTCATGGCATCCTTGGATCTCGAGCCAGAAGTGGCCGA